AGACGCTGAAACCTGAACCTTAAACCCCCCCCCCGTAGTGACTACCAAACATCCATCCCCGAAACCCCCACCCACCTTTGGTTCGCTGCGCTGGTCGACATGGCAGACTTCAAGCCAAAGAACTTGGTCCTGGGGACCTGACAAGCAGTCAGTTGAGCCTTAGGGTTTGAAGAGGGGTCCAGGGTTTAGGAGCAAGGCTTGCATGAAATAGCACATAAGCCATAAGAGCTATAGTCTGAACTCCTAGTATCCCCCTGAGTAACCCCCGTAATTACTACTCCCCTGTATATACTCCCCCATATACTCCCCTTCAAGGAGTTCGGACTATAGCTCATAAGCGTTCAACCCTGGAATGTCAGATGCTTGGGTTTGTGCCATAGCTATCGGCTGTGCGTGCGAGAACTGTTCACGCTTGAAGCTTATAGTATATAGTAGTATATTCTATTATATCATAGTATATCATCATGTAGTATATTATGGTATATTATGGTGTGCCGCGGAGACATAATACTACTTAGCATATCAAGAAAGCCAGGGCTCTGCAACTATCGTCAGTCCCCCTATCTCTCAACCCAAAACGCACATCTGAGTCCGTCATCCTAAACTCATGTCTCTGCACCACCCTGGCGCAAGGCCACGCTCCAACACTCAAGGGACTATCTTGGCTGCGCATCAATACAGTGGTCCCCCGTAAGTCCTGCAGAACCGCCACAAATCCTCATAAAGTCATCCTTTTGCACGGCACTTGGGGAAAGGGGGCTTGTCTACAGGGCCCTCGCATAACCTTCTCCTTGCGAAAATATTACGTCCAAGACGCTTGATGCAACCATGCGTAACTGCTGGCGCCAGCAGCACTCTAAGGCCCGTGTCACGGGCGATGGCGCCTACGTTCGGCATTTAAGTTTAGGGCCTCCGCTCGGCGTTCAAGTTTAAGGCTTATGCGGTTGTAACGAAGAGTTGGGACCTGAAGGTTCCCAGCCATCACTATGTTGCTCCTTCTCCAGCAAATGGCCCTCTTTCGGTACCCACGTTTCTACAGACCTTGGTTTTGTGGATCAATGGGACTCTACTTGAGGGTTTCGGGTCGTTGAACCAGGCACGATTAAATTCTTCGTAAACCAAAGCAGCAACCAAAAGTCGAATATAATAACATTCCTATGTTTGTGGAACTGTAGACTCGCTATGCTACTTGCTTCTTAGACAGTTGTGACCAATTCTCCCCCGGCTCATCGGCCTTCAAGTTTCGGATGTTTCAAAAGCTCGAATTTTGGTAGCTAAATAGGAGCCCCTCGAACTTGGCCTAAGGTGACTGAGGGTGTTTTGAGGTACAAGGAGCGAGGGAACAAGCAACAGCACCTCTGGTCATGCACGAACACCAGAGATAGCTCAACTCTTCAGCACACATATGGGAACAATTCCCCACAGCAATCTGTGGGGCTTCCGGACAACTTGAAAAATCATATTGTGTATCATCCTGAGCAGAAGATGCACAAAGTCTGTTCGCCAACTTGGAGCTGGTAGCGGTCTCATTCTGGAAGTGCCAAAAATTTGGCGTCCTTTTTCATGGTCCTCATAAGATAACAGGGGTCTAGAAACCGCAACTTGGCAAAGACCCATGAGAGTCAACTTCCCTCGGCCTCTCCAGCGCCCCTCCGCCGGGACCACGCCTCAAGCTCATTGGTTTAGACTTGTGGACTTGAGGGATTTCTGATTTAGGGTCTAGGCTTGCAGAGGTCACTGCGCGTGGTAGGTAAGTCCGAGCGCTCCAACTGAGCAAATGGGCGTTTCTCAAGAATCGGGTCCCCTTATGCACCCCTCCAAAAGGGTATTACTTTTATACTGATATACTACATCGCTGCAGTATTACTACTATTACTACTATTATTCTTATTATTACTACTTTTACTATTACTATCCTTCTCGTTGTTGTTGGGATGCTTGCAATTGCTCTATGCCTCGGACAAAACAACCATACTTCATGAACTCCCATTGCACCCTCCAGTAAGGAACTTAAACTAAGTTACCAGAACGGGTATATGGTTTCCCCAATAACTTAACTTAAGTTCCTTAGCCACAAGCCAGAAGAAGCTATGCAAGCTCAGAGGACATGGCAAGTCACGCGCCTCGTAGATAGATCCCAAAGTAATCTTCAAGAGCGGCTCCGCGAGGGGAGCAATGCAAGCGGGGAGATTTGAAAGGAATTCGTGCTGCTTTCACACTGGGACCGTGGGCAGTATGGACAATATAGAAGCAACCTTTATGGAGGCTGTACTTTACGTAAGCGTTGGAGAACGATGAACCTTCGCCTGGCGGCCATGACCCAGATCTGACCTCCAAAATACTAGGGGATATATATATATATATGTATATATAGAGATATAGATATACATACATACATATATGTATATAGAGCCGTTCAAAGGGATTATGTGAGGATATACAGGGCCATATGGTCTCTAGAATGGCTATGGGATACATAGGGCCCTGTAAAGGTGTCGCAAAATGGCCAAGGGACACATGGAGGTTTCCCAAAATTAGGGGTAGCTTTTTGGGTGTCACAAGGATGACCATAGTATTTTGGGGTCTATAGTCGGGTCCCCTCAAGAAAAAAGGATCATATTGACGATAGGGCGATTCTGGGGGGCCCTTGTTGGTGTACCCACAGCCCTTACACAAAAGCCGCAGCTAAGCGGTGTGTACGCTTTGTACGGATGTCAAAAAATCTTGTATCAGGCTCCTGTAAGGCTCAACCCATCATCATGCTTTGAGATCAATCAGACTAACCAAAAGTTGCCAGCTTACAGATCTTGCGGAAGCCCCTCTCATCCAAACGAACTCTAAGCCCTAAACCCTAAATAGTAGTTTCCATTTTCTTTTCCATTACCCCTATATCACCCTATATTATACCCCTATATTATACTTGTAGTCCATGAGCCTTTGGGGTAGAGTGTAGAGATGTGGCCCAGATGAGACGGAAAGAGGTCCCAAATCATGGGAAGCTCTACACAGAAGTCAGAAATCACAGAATCCCCCTGGCCCTATACGATCTCAATGATGCATAACAGAACCTTTACTTTTTGGGGAAGCTCCCAAATCTGAATCCCAAACAACTGCGGCGATTGCCGAGGTACGCGGCGTGAAGCCCGTGCCTGGCGCATCTCATCCATGACCTCAGCGGCCACGGGGCTTAGGGTTGTTTTGGACTGCTGGGGTTGGGGAGGTGTTGAGAACTACCATTGAGCATCAGGCTTTCGGGTTTGGGGTCCTTCCTCTGAGTGTAGTTGAGATCAAAACCAATATCAAATCTATGAAGCTGGGGACCATAAAGCCAAAAGAACGTTTTTCCCATCGCTGATGCGGCACACAAATCTCAGCAGGTTCCGCATGACTGTTGGACCAGACTCCGCGCTACAATCCAATCCACAACATACTCTCTCCTAAGGAAACCCTTAGACGGTCGCAGACTCCCTGAATATCAAGCCCTTGTTTAAAACAATCCCAAGTGCTCTGAATCTGGAGTCAAGGCACTTCGCCCAATCGCTGTTCTGCCCAAACCTGGCACTTGGCTCCATGTGGCAGTTGAGAGATCTTGAGGGGTTTGCATATAAGGTTTCAGGGTTCAGGGTTTAGGGTTTGCGCTTCCGAGTTTAGGGTTCAGCTTTGTTAGGTTTTTCCAGTCCTTCGGACTTTTTTTACCTCTGCCTGACAGGCATAGAATGTTGCTTTAGGATTTTAGTGTTTGGGCTTTAGACTCTAGACTTCACGGCTCCGCTTTTTGTAAACCCCGTCGGCTCTATTGCGCGTAGCATAGTTGCACAGGGGTGTCAGAAAACTACCACAAGTATCCACAAGTGATTGATGTGGCCATTAACTTGGTTGCACTCTAAGCGCCCGGTCGCAACTGGCAACATCGTTGAGCTATCCCCTGCTTTATTAGAGTGAGTAGTACGTGGCCAATCATAACAATAACAAAAAGTCATAATGGTGGTCAGGGGGTGTCCCTCCGCACAAATCACCACAAGCAAGCGTGTTTATTTGTCAGAGGCCCTAAGCTTTGGGATTACCATTTCGGTTCTTGACTGCCAGGTAAGGGTTGCATGAACTACCATCGGTGCTTGACCTTCAGCAGTCATCAAAGTCTTGCATCATGTTCTCCCTCTGTCAGTGGTGAAGCTTCTTGTAGCATCGCTTATCTGAACTGAGCGTTACTCGTATCATTCCTGCGGCCACAGTACGACCGCCAAGATATGGCTGCCTAACAAGCAGCGTATGTTTGGGCAGCGCTGTCCAGCCTAGCAGAGAATGATCTGAAACTTCAGCGCCGGTGCGCGGACTATTCTCAAAAGTATGGCTGCGATTCTGGCATTGTGAAATAGCCCGACCTCAGTCCCCATGCCCGAACCCAACAGTTCACCGCCATAAATCCTAAACCCCAAACATCCTTAACCCCAAACTGCAAGCCCAACCCCCAAGTAATTGACAGAGTACCGGCAGGTCCAGGATGAGGGCAACTGATTTGATGCAGCTGGTGCGATCTGTGTCCAGCCACTCCTGTCAAGCGGTTCACGGATGGGCGTTGGGTTCCTCGTCCAAAACAAAAAGGGAGGCGCACAACCTAGGGGATCCTCAATCATCTCAAGGACACTCCATGAGACGCCCATTCTGTATAGCTGCACAGCCAAATGGTTGAGCTTCCATATCAGAGTTGGAAGAAGTACATCGGCCCTCGTTTCATTGCACGTAGGCCTCATTTGCTTCAATGGGTCATCGAGAGGGTGCTTGGATTCCCACAGGTCAAACCAGGTCAAACAGCACAAAAGCAGAAAAAGGCTCTGAGTGAAAGATCAGCACATCACGCCCAAGATAGCCCCACTCTTCAAGCCTAAGCCCTCGTAGCCTTCATGCTGCAGTAGATCGCCAGTTCAAGGACACCCGCAGACTGCGAATTGCACCTAACCCCCTCTTCTTGGACACACACACCCCTGGCTTAGTCGAGGCTCTGCGAGATCCTTGCCATCTGCCTGAGCAACAAAACACATGACATCAAGGGATCCGTGTCCATCGTGACAAAGAAGGCAAGAAGTTCATGCAGGACAACACAGGGTTGCGGCAGGTGAGTGGCTGCAGTGCAGTCAGAAATGTGAAGAGATCTGTTACTTCAACCCATGAGTCCAAGCATAAGTTGACAGGATCTGTCCCTAAACCCTAAACCCTAAACCCTAAACCCTAAACCCTAAACTGAAAGCACCTCACGGTTTGAATGTTAATGTTGGCATTAGCATGCGCGTCTGCTACAAGGAATCATGCGACAGTTGTCCCAAGTTCTTGTCTACGGCCAATATCTAGGCTCCTTTTATCATACGGTGGATAGCAAAAAAAACTGCATGACCCTAAATACCTTAAGCCTTAAAAAATATGGCACTATAGTACATTAGGATTTTGAGTATGAATAGTGGGCGTGGTTGCTTCCACAAACACCGGCAACCCTGATCCAGCCTGAGCCTCCGCACTTAGGAGTCTACTGGGCTGCTGCTAAGGAACTTGTTTTAAGAACTACTAGCATAAGGAAACCCAAACACTAACGCGTCTACCCATATTGTGGTGAGTTAATTTACGTTCTTTGACAGAAATCCAGCCCAGAGTCGCGGCCTGAATGCTGAGAGTTGCGCATGTAGGCAAATCTCTAGGTAATAGATACTGATTACTCTTAGTCTTATTCTTGAAAAGTCGTGATATACTAACAACAGTGTTACTCATAATAATCTTAATAAGTAATCATAGAAATAGCAAAGACCACAACAACAACCACGACCACAACAACAACAGCACCAACAACACCACAACAACAACAACAAGAAGCCGTCCAATAACAATAATGTTAATTAAGCATGCTCCCCGCACGAATTCTGAGCCAAGGTGCACTCAGCAGAGACCAAAGATTGCAGAGCCGGTCCCTCCACCTTGCCTGGGCTTACCTAAGGTTATTTAGGGTTTAGGGTGTGGGGATTATATACAGGTATAGTAACACATGAAAATGGAACCTACTGAATCCATATCGCTGAAGGATTTCTGTCATGTTTACTGTCATTAAAGTTTTTAAGAAAAATATGTCCGCATTTCTAAGGTTATGCAGCAGCGAAC